TGAAGCTACATGAGAATCGCTCTCTATCTCTTAATAGAAGAAGATGTGTAGCCAAACACAAAAAAGCACCCGAAAAAAGTATCCTTGTTTCGCTCTTAGTGCTGTAACGGAACGCCATACCATAACTTACTCCGTTAGGGCCAGGAGGTCACAGCTACATCTACAGCCATCAGCTCCAGGAACTCACTAAGGCAATCAAAGAAAGTCGACCGAGAATAAGTTCTGTTCATCTTCTGGATGACATCGTTGGACATCACCTTGCAAAGACCACAGTCGAAGTTGTAGGGGCTTTGGCTGGGATACCGCTTTCCATACTCTCCATTACCCTGCTCTCAAGCTTTCTGACTCTCACCTTTTTAAAAGCCTCATGCACTCCTTTATGGATAAGAAGTTTGCTACTTTCGGTGACCCTAACAATGCTGTGACTAACTTTTTCGACTAACAGTCTTCCTCTTCTTGAGCGAATGATATGGCCGACCTGCCCTCTAGTTTATGAATGCTATATTTACTATATTATTGTATATATTTTTATATATTGTAGGAAATATACATATATACATATATCCTACTATATGTAATTCGCTAAGTGTGTCTATTAATTTGTCGGTGTGTTTGTGTGTATGTCGGTGTGTGTGTTTGACCCGAAACTCATATCTCCTGTTTTCGTAGAGCTAGAGCATTGAAATTTGGTAGGAGTACCGGCGGCAGGATGGGAATACTGATGGCATGTGATAGGAAAAGATAACAGTTGAGGGGCTGATAAGGAGCCTTAAGAGGCAAGAGCTGCCGGATCCGTTGCCCCCTTCGTGTCAACGGTAGAGTCTTCAGAGTCTTGGCACTTTAGTATGTGGTGTGGGGTTGAAAGGGAACGTAGATATTTGTATGGGGACGATAAGAACTGATACGGACTGATGAGGAGCCATAGAAGGGGATAGCCTTCTAGGTCTATAACGCCCGTCGTTTTAACAGTGCAGCCTTGGCACTTTAGAAGGTGGTGTAATATATGAAGTGATTCTAGATGATTGGTGACAATGACTGATAACATCTGATAAGGATAATGACGAGCCATTCAAGGTGAGAGCCACTAGGTCTCAACGCCCTTCGTATTACAAGTGGAGGTTTGGCACTTCAATACAGTGTGAGATGTGATAGGATTGTAGGTGACAAGGAGTGTGCAACTGACAGGCTGGTACCGAGCCAAAGAAGGCTCGGTGTGTAAAGCCTTCCGTATTAGGAGTGGAACGTCGGCCTTCTAAGTGATGTGGGATGTGACGTAGATCCTAGCTTCTAGGTGACAGGAGCTGACTACATATGAGCAGGGGCTCAAGAGAGTAAGAACCACCTACTAATCGAAATTTCAACGCCCTCGGTATTTACGATGTAGCATTGCCTGTTCAATATGTTTGATTCGATAACGGTGATGGTAGAGCAGGGTGACAAAAGTGATTGGTAAGTGCAGTGATAGGGACCGATTAAAAGCACTAAGGTTAACAGAGGAGAATTTTGTTCATTTCTGGCTATTAGATTACGACCGCTACCCAGCAAGGTTTGTGACTCAATGAAAAATATTCCCTGGTTGATATCGTTTGCGACAAAACTCGTCCGACCGCCACTAATCTGGGATTCTCCTCTAATGATGTCTCTGTAAAGAAAAGGTCCATTGATAACGATGTGTGATAATGGTGTTATCACTACTAGAAGCATTTGTGGGTGCCGCCGAAGGCTTTGGTTGCCTAACAGTTAAACATTAGTAGGCAATTGTTTCGAGGAGAGGGAGAGCAAAAGATCGAGACTTCTAACCAAAGGCTGCTTACTCTGAATCCCATTTGCACTGTACTCTTAGTCCTGTGTCGAATTTCATGTCCGGTAAAGTATTGGGTTGCTCGGAAAGTCTCCGCCGATCTTTGAGTCGACTTTGAAAGAAATTTTCTAGAAGATTAAATCTATTCATTGAAGAACATATCGTCCATTCTGTTTAATAACGGTTCGCCCCTTATCTATCTCTTTCGTTATCCCACTTTCATAGCAGGTTCTAGACTGAGACTCGAAAAACCCTCGCAGGTGCTTTTTGTAGTCCTCTAGTAGATTGAACGATTTTTCATTCAAAGTTATTGCAGAAACCTCAAGAAGTGGTAGTATGATGGTGCTATGTCTAGACTCTATGGTGGGCGTTGTAAGACATCCTACCTAAGCTCCAGCAGTTTTTGACGGGTGTGGTGCGATTCACGCGCCAATATAATGAGGTCATCGGACAAAAAGCGCTAAAACATCATGGCTACCATCATAACGGAAGAAATAAGAAGTTATAAGTAGAATAAGTGAAGAAATGACCAACTATGCACGTTTACAGAAGGATTGCGTTAACTAGGATCAAAAAATTCGTAGGTGTTCTTATTTTGAACGTTTGCCAAGTAAATTGTTGACCTATGAGGTGGATTCTCAATTTCGAAGGGGCTTTTTAGCCATAGTAAAGAGATTTGCTCTATTTATGGTGAAGCCGTGGACTACTGCGAATTTATTTGGTCTATCTCAACTGAAAGGTACTGAAACGATGCTGCGTGCGCGAAGACTCTAATGGGGTCACGCGTGAATCGCGCGCCCCCCGTTTTTGACGAGTCTTCAAAAATACGTGTGGTCTGGAGTTTTCCTGTTGGAAGACATCGCTCTTACGATTGGCCACTTCTGGGCGCCTCTGGTCTATCGCAGCCTATAAATTGTTTAGCAGAGTGCAATACCTTTCCAAAGTTATCGTTCGACTATGCGGCAACAGCTCATAATAAGTGACTCCCCTCCATTCCAGCAACACAGTATAAACTTGCTCACCTCGATTTAACTTTTGGAGTAGTTTGTGACGGCACGGTGGGAGGGCTCCACGATCGTTTCTACTCCACGCTCCGCAACCGACTTTTTGTCCCCCGTTTTCATACGTTCCAGAAACAGCTTATTTTTGTTTCGTTTTAGCAACGAGTCGCATATGAAGGCGCGGTCCATCACATTGCGCTCGCTCAGTTCGTGTAGTGCCCAAACATCAAGGCGCTTGAGAAAACCAAGTTCCTGCAAATGATCATGGATGGTTGATGTCAAAACATTCAGTCTTCTTTTTATTCCACGAGCGTGTTTGCCGACTCGTCACGATTGATATTTTGATCTCGTCGTTTTCAACTGGTGATAGCCTTCCTGGGCGTTGCCGACTTTGAAGGGTGGATTCACCCTGTTTAAATTTCGCAAATCACTGGCGTGCTGTAGGTTCTCCTAGAGCATGTCTTTTCAAACGTACCGAATCTTTCTTGCGGCTTTAGCCGTACTCTTGCTCTTGCGGTAGAAGAAAAGCATCGGGCGCCGCAAATGCTTGCAAAGATTCTCAAATTTCTTACGGATCCTATACAGACAGACTTTGAGGAATGTTGGCAGAACTTGAACCGGGATATAAAGGAGGGCTTACCTTTTCAGAAAACATGTAATTTTGTGTCTAGGTTCCTGATCTTTTGTACAACAGTTGAGAAGCACGAGGTGTCGAAAATCGGCGGAGACGGGAAGCCCGGGGGCAGCCGGGCAAACCGACTGGTATCTATATATACTGCATAGAATAAGTGCAGCAGAGTACATGTGAGCCTAGCGGAGCTCCGCCCCGAAGGGGCGGGGTACTCGCCGGAATTGGGCGGTGCTATGGGTAAACCCTTTTTCATTAGGTCTCATAACAGTCCAGACGTCCGAAAAAATGAGCAAAGGTGTGGGATGGGTCAACAATTAAAATGGGGGAAATCGCCGGCATCGCCCACTCCGCCCAGTACCGGTGATAAACCTTTCCCGGCGTTTGGACTGTTACGGGTGGTACTTTCCACATAGATTCATAACTTGATTAAAGATGGCATAGAAGCCAGAAAAAAAACAAAAGGAGTAAGCAAGGCCTTACGCGTGCTGGGCATGCGTAGACCTTGCGTATGTATGTATGTATGTATGTATGTATGTATTTGGGTTTTTTTCTAATAACCGTATAGGAGGCTATTAAACGATACGAAAAAAGTTTGAATCAGAGGCAAACCAGGAAAGGTAGAAAGGTAGAATGTTTCTGAAGATAGGACTATTAAAATGGTCCGTCTGCCAATCGGTCGGGATTCTGGGTGACCATCACCGAACGACCTTTAGACGGACCGTTTAAGATGTATTCCATGCTGACCTGACACATCACAGTGAGTGCAGAGTAGGGAAAAGCTCCTGAACAAGTTGCAGAGGTGGCAGAGCGTGCTAACGAGGAACGGGAACCTGCTGAACCTGAAGAAGAGGAACTTTCTCAGTTCCGAGAATGGGCAGAGGCAAAGGTAGGCTGCCATGAGGATGCATCGAAAGTATCCAAGCGCACCGAAAGTGTCCAGGCCACATGTTCACATGACAGGAGAAGCAATGGGCTAGCGAGTTGAATAGGAAGGTTGTACAGTCGAGATTGTTTTGAAGTCATGGGTTTTCGTCGAAGCCTTCAGATTGTTTTCTGTTTTAGGTTTTATAATTAGTGCTCACCGTTTCGTGACTCACACCCAAGTCGGTATTTTCGGAGAGACTATGGAGATCATATGATATCACCATTGGAAAGTATAATGCTTCGATCACATTCCATTAGACCTGTCTGTACCGCACGGTGAAGCTTTTCTCTGGTGGATGGAAATTTCGGTGGCTTGAATTTTCGATGTTCGAATGCGAGAATCTGCGAGTAAATTGTGTAGCACCTCTCATATCCGATTTTCAAAACTCCCAGTGCCGCATATAGGCATTAGAGGAGGATTGAAACTAATCCTTTCAAGATGAACAACAAATCTATTTTCTTTCCCCTATTTCGAATCGTAGAGGCATTCCAGCAAGCATTTGAGTCATGTCTCGTTTGAGGGGCTTGCCTCAGATGAGTGCGAAACTAGCCCGCTTGGGCTGGTATGGTAGCGCGCCAGCATCACAGCTTGCTCTTCTTCTTAAATGCCTGATCTGCCGCAACAACGTTGATGTTTTTGTAGATGGCACAAAGTTTCAAAGAGACACTAGATGGATGGAATATTCAGACAGGTGGTTGGCTTCGTCGAGTAGCGTATGATAGAACACCGAAGAGGTGAGTCTTGTCTCCTGTCAGTTATTAAATTTCTGGTTCTGTACCTGGCTGAGCTACGCAATATTACCAAACTATTTGCTTGCGATCATTTTAACTCCATATTTCATGGTTTCAACTCTCTAATTGTTTTAGCAGCTACAATGACAGTAGATATGGATTTACAGTGATTTTACTATGTGCAGAGATTTATAGAATCAGAACCTTTGCCACTTACGCGTTATCAGCACTTTGGCACGGAATTTCAGTCGGATATTATATGACGTTCTTTACTGGAGCTCTCATGACCCTTGCTGGTGCAACGGTGAGTCCGAACATTACTACGTTCCCTCCGTGTTAGACTCTATGTATAAATGTCATCCTACTTATACAAGGTGTCCCCAAATTATTTGTGCCGATTTATAGCAGTATATTTGAAACTTCTCAACTGCAAAGGACGATGGAATTCCTATGCACGCTAGCTAACACTATGTGCTACAACATGCTAAAGTCGCATTTCAAAATATCCCCCGTGAGCGCGAATAGAAGTCAAAGTTTGCTTTCGACTTGATCGCATGTGGCACGCAGGTATCCTTCTCCATTTCTTCCCAGCCGTCCTCCAGCTTTTGCATTCTAGGACTCCAAACTGGGACTGCAAACTCGACAGTTCCTCTTCTAATCAGGGACCATTCGTAGGATTCAAGTGAGTCAAGTTCTGGTAAATAGGATGACCATTCCTCTTCACCAATGAAGTCGGGCAGCTGTCGTCGGCACCACTCGCGGGCAAGCTTGGCTCTGTGGGCTGGAGTAGCGTCCTGCTGGAAGGACTACGAGATATTTCAGAAAACGTAGTCGGATCAATATTTTATTTACTTCTATTAGTATGCCGTTTGAGTACTGGTCTTGGTCAATTTTCACGACTGCACCGAAGAAACCACGAGCGGCTTACCCTTGCCAGTGATTTCCTCGGAAAACATCATTTTACTATTCTGATAGCAACCTTTTTGTGAGATATTACACGCTGGATGTTTCTTTCCGGAACGCGAACGTTTTGGTTGTTGAGGAATGGCTTTATCGTAAAAAACTTCTTGACCAGAGAAAACGACGAAGGGTTGCGTGTCACCAATTTCGACTTTCTGCATTTTTGGCCCTGCAGTATCTATTGAGATCGGAATTGAAGCGAAATTTCTGCATACGATAGGAAAGGCAGTAGAGCTCCTGCATGACATTTTTCCATCGCGATGACTCCTGTAAGCCGTGCCCGTTGACTTCTCTTTGATGGGTCACCCAGAATCCCGACCGATTGGCAGACGGACCATTTTAATAGTCCTATCTTCAGAAACATTCTACCTTTCTACCTTTCCTGGTTTGCCTCTGATTCAAACTTTTTTCTGTATCGTTTAATAGCCTCCTATACGGTTATTAGAAAAAACCCCAAAAAATTTCATAACGCCCTTCCACTTCTCGCGCGTCAATGATTGCAAGTGGCATTTAATGAGCCTCCTCCATCTGAAAGATAATGGGAGTTCCACATCAGCAACCATGCATATTGCTAGGAAACCTTCTAATGCAACTGATTAATAACAGGTAATGTGTATTTGATAGATTATTTCTAATTTAAAAATTGCTGAACTTTGGCGCAAATAATTTTGGGACACCCTGTATAATCCGCTAAGCGTGTCTGTTGGATGTGGTGCAGTGGAAACGAAATTGTGGCGTCGCGGCGAGAGAGACGTCTTGCGCGAAGGAGTGTAACAGAGTGCAGTAGCAAGTAAGATATAGAGGAACGAAAGAATTAACATTAGATCATGCCAAAAATAATAATCGCATAGCGATTGAGCTGTATGAAGAGTACTAGAACTGTTATAGGCAAATGATCTGCGACAGCCGCGTGCGCCGGATCGATTGCGCAAAACCGTTCCTACTGCCCGTCTCCCGTGTCTGTTGTATATGTGTATATATATATATATATATATATATATATATTTGTAAATATACGACGGAAATCCATAACTCCTGTTCCAATGGACCTAGAGCGACCGATTTGCACAAGTAAAGGCGACGTTGTGGGAAAACTGATGATAGATAACAAGACTAGACTTCGCCCACAGGAGGTTGGGCCTAAGCAAAAATGGTTAATTTGAACCTGGGGCGTTCAAATTCGACACGAGCACAGGTGGCAAGATTAGGAGAAAGATGGTGGGTAGTAGGAAGTAGAAAATCGGATCCAGCTCGCAGGGGCGTAGGGGTTATGGAGAGAGCGGATTGTGCATGAAATGAGGGTAGCTCGAGTGAAAACACGCAGAAAATTTGGAATAAGAGGAGAACGGTTCCTATTACTTGAACTAGGACTTGCGGGAACATCGCTCTGACGGGCAGTTCACGCACGAAGTGTATCGGTCTGTGTGTGTGTGCTTCGCTGAAAATCAACAGCGCCTATTCTCCTGGAGCAAAGCTTTTGAACAGGAGAGAATGCAGGCGGCGGGTCAACTTGAACGCGAGAAGGAGGACAGCCCGGCGTCAGCCTGCGATTCGACTGGTTCTATTATATACAGGGTGTCCCAAAATTATGTGTGCCACTTCATGGCAATGTATTTGAAGCTTCTCAGCTGCGAACGACAATGGAATTTATATGCTCGTTTCCTAACACTATGTGCTACATCATGCAATCGCATTTCAAAATATCCTCCATGAGCGTGGATAGAGGTCCAAAACTTGCACTCGAACTCCTCTCATGGTGCACAAAGGTATCTCCTTCATTTCTTTCCAGCCTTTTTTGAGCCTCGCTTTTAGGATTCCAAACTGGGACTGCAAACCCGACAAATCCTCTTCTAGCCTGGGACCTTTCGGAGGAGACAATGAATTTATAATGGAAAGCATTATGACCATTCCATTCCTTTTAATGAAGTCGGGCAAGCAGCTTGCCTCTGTGGGCTGGAGCACCGTTCTGCTGAGAAGACTACGGACTGTTTCAGGGAGCGGAGTCGGATCAGTGCTTTATTACGTCCATGAGTATGCTCCTTGAGTGCACGTCTTTGTACATTATCATGCCGGTTTAGACGGAACCACGAGCGACTTATCCTTGCCAGTGCCTCTCAGAAAACATTATTTCGCTATGCTTATAGCGACTTTTTCTGTGAGAGGTTGCGTGTTGGATGTTTGTAGCCAGAGCGCAATCGTTTTATAAGTTGAGGAATGGCTTTTTTCAAAAAAAAGCTAGCTAGAGAGAATGATGAGGGGTTATGTGTCCCACTCAAGTGAGTTGCCAACTTGCTGCGTTTTTTGACACTACCCTGTCTTCGAGATCAGAAATGAGGCGGCATTTCCACATACGAAAGGAACGTCAATGAAGCTTTTGTTTGACAATCCGCCCCACACCTCGAAAATTCCTGCTCTTTTACCGTCTTTTTCTTGTCTTCCTGTTTTTTTTTNTTTTTTTTTGTTGAATCTTCTTCGTATCGTTTAATAGCCGTCTGTACGGACGTTATAGGGATCACAAAAAAGTTGTAATGCCCTTACACCTCTCGCTTGCCAATGTTTACTGGTGGCATTGACTGAGCCTCGGCCGTCTGAAGATATTGGGAGTTTCACTGCATATTGCAAGAAAACCTTCTTATGCATAGTGGGTGAAGCGAATTTGATAAATTACTCCTGCCTTAAAATTCCTTAATTTTGGCGCCCATAATTCTGGAACACGCTGTACATATAACGCGCTCGCGTCTCTGTCTGTTTGTTTGTTTTTTTTCGTTCGGAAATTGAATGGTACTTGAGAAGCATCTGTGGAAGGTGGAAGGTGAGGGTGGGTACAGAAGTAGGGTTAAGTGTAAGTTGGATTGGGTATAGGGCAAGACCAACAGAGCACATATAAGCTCAGCTGAGCTCGCCCACAGGGCGGAGCATGCGCATGAGAGGGCGGTATCATGGGCAAAACTTTTTAACTAGGTTTCGTAACAGTCCAGAAGCCGGGAAAGAATGAGCAAAGCTGAGGGATGGGTCAACAAGAGAAACGAAGGAAACCCATCGACGGTGAGCGAAGCGTTCTCACATGGGCAGTACTTACTAGTAAGACCATAACTCGGGTGAAGAAAAGAGTATCATTCTACTTACTATAAAGCGCTTCGTCTGTCTGTCTGTCTGTCGTTCTGTCTGTATGTCTGTCACGAAATTCCTTAACTCCTTTAGATCTGCCTGGAGAGATCGGGTCAAGTGTGGGATGGATGGGCCATGTCCTCAGAAGTATAAAACACACATCAACTTGGCGAAGCCCCGCCCACAGTGGGCGTGGCGTGCATCGAAATGATCTGAGCTGAGGACCATGATTTCAAATTCAGTCACAAGACGGCCTCAAAATTGGGGTTTAAAGGTGGCTAGAGGTGTGCATTGGTAAGTTAGATCGAACTGGGGAGACCCACCCCCGATGGGCGGGGCGTTCTCCAAAAATGCAGTGCTTTACGAAAACATTTATAACTCGGTTTGGAGAAGGCCAACAGAGCAGGAAAAAGTTGATTTGGGAGGAGCTTTGTCGAAGGTGTCTCCAGCATAAATG